TTTATTCAAAGTGATTTCTGTTTTCACACAATGTAAAGGGCAGCTGTTGTGTTCAAACAGGTGTTGTGTTCAAACTATATACACACACACACACACATATATATATATATATATATATATATATATAGTTTGAACACAACAGCTGTTTGAACACAACAGCTGCCCTTTACAACAAGCGACCCAACAATGACTTGGAAAAAAGTCTGGTTCCACTGACTTACATTGAAAGTAAAGTATGTATGTTTCTTCCTTCTCCTCAAAGTTACTCAAAGTTAATGTTGTTGTTGTTGACTTCCGAAGAGTGACCATCACTTCCCCACTGACCATCACTGGCTCTGCTGTGGAAATCGTCAGGAGCACCAAGTTCCTCGGCGTCCACATCACAGAGAACCTCACCTGGTCCCTCAACACCAACTCCATAGCCAATAGATCCCAGCAGTGCCTCTGCTTCCTACGGAGACTGAAGAAGGCTCATCTCCCCCCTCCCATCCTCTCCATGTTCTACAGGGGGACTGTGGAGAGCATCCTGAGCAGCTGGATCATCGCCTGGTTTGGGAATTGCACCGCCTCTGACCGCAAGACCCTACAGCGAATAGTGAGGACAGCTGAGAAGATCATCGGGGTCTCTCTCCCCTCCATCATGGACATCTACACCACACGCTGCATCCGCAAAGCCACCAGCATCGTGAACGACCCCATCCATCCCTCACGCTGACTTTTTTCCCTGTTTCCGTCTGGCAGAAGGCACCGGAGCATCCGTGCCATCACTGCCAGACTCTGCAACAGCGTTGTTCCTCAAGCAATCAGGTTTTTAAACTCACAAGGACTGAACTAAACCCCCCCCCCAACACACACACTCATACACACCTCTTTTGATGCTCTACTTGCACTATCTATCTGGAACATTGCTACCAATACTGTGTTTACACTGTTTTCTACCTCAGTAACTGTTTTACTACCTCAGTAACTTCTGTGTTTATGTATGTTATCTGACGTAACTTACAGATCACATCACGTCAAATATCTCTGCACCTTATTCCACTACCTCATGTCCAGAAATCTGTGCTGTGTCGGTGCTACACTGTCCGGTCAGTTTACTGTGTCTAATGTCTGTTTAATTTATTGTATTTATTTGTTTTCTAGCTTAATTTTTGTTTGCACACTGTCTGCACGTTCGCACTTTGTAATTTTGTACTTTTGTACTTTTGTACTTTTTGTTCCATGTTGCACCGTGTTGTTCCTGGAGGAACGTAATTTCGCTCCACTGTGTACTTGTACATAGATGGAATGACAATAAAAGCCTCTTGACTTGACTTGATCATGCAGTTGCATGCAAAACTTTAGGCCCCCATGGCTAAATGACATGTTTTGTTGATTTTCTAGGTGAAAATAAGTTAACATTCCTTACAGAGAAAGCGTTTTCATATTTTATTGTGGAATTATTATCAGAATCTAACATATTGGAGCAAAAATTAAAAACAAATGTGGAAAAGTCATGGAACATTTGATATTTTACGTTTTCTTCCCCCAATATGTTAAACTCAGCAAATAAAAATATAGTAATAAAGTAATAAAGTTTTCTGTAGAGGATGCTTTGGCTTATTTTCGCTTTAAAAAAATATATGTAATTTGACAGGTGTCCAAACTTTTGCATACAATTATAAATACATGCTTACAAAAAGTTACATGGCCATTCAAAAGTTTGGAAACACTGTTTTCAATAATTTAAAAATCAGCTGTGTTGCAGAAACATGATACTAATATGCTGCTCATGTACAACTTCAAATACTTAGTATGAAGCAGTTAAAAAAGAAGAACTTTTAGACATGGTGGGAATGCTGAAGCTGTAGTTGATTCTAAAATGACTAGCAATGCTGAACAGCCTCAGTGCTGTACAGTAACTATGTTCTAATAAAATTCATATCCAGAATGCCACATATCTCAAAGTGGTGAGCAAATCTCAAGACAAATAAGCTGACAAACACTGGCCCATATTCAAATTTTCAGAGTATGAATATTGATCTGGGATCACTTCACGCCTTTGACAGTGTATTGTATAAACTGATGAGACCTGACTTTCAATCAGTTTTTATACTCTTTGAAAAACATTTGAAAAATATGGGCCAATGTTTGTAAGTAGATCATCACAGTATATTATTTAGCAATAAATTCCTGAAACACCAAAATTTTCTAACAATTAAATCTATATTGTATTATAGATTTAGTGTTATTGTATATAAAACAACAAAGACTCATGACAAGTGATTCCAAACTTTGAAACTTTGAAGAGTGGCATAAATACAGTTGAATGCAAAAGTTTTAAAACTGGTTCATCAGACTGGATGTCTGGTTCCTATCAACACCATTGTAAGCAATTCTGACTCTGACATTTCTCTAGAACAGAGCGTTTCATACCAAACCACTCTGAACAACTTTATCTACATCTTAACCATTTAATTATGTAGAAGTGTTGAACACGTGGTGGAATTTCTATGTATGTACAGCAGCAAAGTACAACTAATTAAGTATTTACTGTATTGTGTTTGCAGTGTTGTAATACAGCCAAGTTCATACCTAAATAGAGAAATAATGAAGCTCAAGTACTTAAGTCTTTTCCACCACTGTAAGAATTATAGCTCATACTCATTCTGGAAGGTGCTGTGTTGTGGTTGTAATGCAGCACTGCGACCAGAGGTGGCGCTTTACTCACATTAAATACAGTTCAATCCAACACCTGCAGGAGTGAAGGTCGTGTGGACCATTACAGCTGGACAAACATTCAGCTGGCAGTGAAAAGAGCTACTGTCATCCAATCAAATCACACACCCAAGATTTCCCCACCTGCTGTAGGACTTTACTGGTTTATTCTATATTCATACAGTGTATTACAGTGAGAGATGAGGACTGATAATGCTCGTGTAGAGGTTTTCTGTAACTACACACTTAAAAAGATGGTTCTTTAAGGGTTCCAGAAAAGGAAATGGTTCTATATAGAGCAATGATTTTCATATGGATCCATTTCATGCTTAAATTGTTCTTTGCATGGTGAAATGGTTCTTCTGGTTGATGGAAAATGTTTTTTATATACAGTTCTATACAGAATCTTTTTGAAAATGGTTCTATGTAGCACCGAAATAAGGTTCTGCTATTGTTACGATGTCAAGCCTGAAACTATAGAAGAACACTTTCTGGTGCTATACAGAACCATTTTCAACAATACTGTATATGGAACCTTATACAACACATATTCCATGAATCTGAAGAATGATTTCACCATGCAAAGAACCAGAACCAGAACCATTTTCAAAAAAAGAACCACATACAAAACATTCTCCATTCATTAATGTGAGGAACCATTTCACTATGCAAGCAACCATTTAAGCATGAAAAGGTTCTATATATACTTTTAGGAAGATGGTTCCATGAGGGTTCTTTAGCAATATATATATATATATTTCTATATGGAACCATGAACACTCAAAGAACCATATGCATGATTAAAGGGTTCTTTCCATGGTGAAAGGATTCTTTGGTTTCCTTTTAGTGCTAGATAGAACCATTCTCAAAAAGGTTCTACATAGAATCTTAACACATTCTCCATCAATCTAAAGAACTATTTCACCACGCAAAGAACCATTTAAGCATGAATGGTTCCATATATCCTCTTAAAAAGATGGTTATTCAACAGTTCTTTATTAAGGAAATGGTTCTATTTAGAACCATGAACACTCACATAACTCTTCAGTTGGGGAATGTGTTATAGATGGTTCTATATAGAACCTTATAAAGGGTTCTGCATAGCACCGAAAGGATTCTGCTATTGTTACAATGTCAAGCTTGAAACTATAGAAGAACCATTTTCAAAATCCATCAATCTAAAAAACCATTTCTCCTGGCAAAGAACCATTTTTTATAGGTTTTATATCTGAATATCTAAGGCAACGAACCCTGAGCCAAACTTCAGGTGTTTTCTACTGTTTATTATAAAGCAGTTCTTCACAGCTCGGAGGTTCCACAGGTTCCAGCACGAAGTGGAGCTGTCCACGTCCTGGTGCTGAAATCCGGCGACCTGACAGCCTTAACCCGACAATTAAGAGATATTTCCGTTTGATTAGACGCCAGAAATATCCTTTAATTGTAAAGTGAAGGGCGTCATTCCTTTATCCTCCGCTTCCCATCCCTTCTGTGGTGGCTGGAAGTTTTAAACGTGTAGAATAACCGCTGAACACCAGCATTCAGGACCAAACCGCTGCACGCAGCGACGGCTCACTTCATTAGTGGTGCCAATTCGCGCGTTCGTGTCCGAACGTCTTAGATCCTTCAACGTTCAGTCACGATCAGCCAGTTGGGATTTATGGCAGCCTTCCTTCTTGACCCATTCATTGTCCTTTTCCCACGGATTCACGGAAGCTAATCCAGCCTTACGCAGCGCGCTTCTTCCCCTCGTGTCCACTTGTAAGAGTGCACGAACCGTTTCAAGCGCTGGAACTTTTTTTTTTGCCCCTTCTTCATGTTTTTGTCGAGGTTCTCGGACAAATCCACGCTGAGCTCGCTCACACTGAGGGTCTCACCCACACTGGGGGGTTCCCTTAAAGCCTCGAGGTGCTTTGGAGTTCGCAGGGCGTCCGTTCTTCCTGCCCAGCTTGGATGTTCCACCGTTCATTCCTCCTCGGTTCCACCAGACGGCTGCGTTCGGTGCCTCCACATCGCACTGTAGAAGAGAACCCCCCAAAAAACCCACCCAAAACCCATCCTGTTGCGCGTGCATGTGTAGTACAGAGAGAGAGAGAGAGAGAGAGAGAGAGAGAGGGAGAGGGAAGGGGGAGGAGGGGTCCCCTCTTTGCTCCGCAGTTTGCTGTATCCAAGCCACACTGAACACTGAGAGAGAGAGGTGGAGAGCGCGTGCGGGAAGGCACTCGCCACTTGCTTGCTTCTGACCACTCCATCCCTCCTTTTTTTTTTTAAAAAAAAAAGCACCCCTCCTCCTGAGACCGCCCGAGATTCCGTCCTCGAGCGGGGCTGTCTGGGAGCTACAGCCACAGCCGGAAGCGCGCGCACTCCTCCGTCCGTGCAGCATCTCTCGGAAACTGGATTTCTAGCCCGTCGCGGACGCGTGGATGCGAGCCTACACCGGGGCAAGTCGCGGAGATGGAGTTGCTCGTGATCAGCCTCTCCCTGTGGCTCCTGCAGTGGCACGCGGCGCGGGCGGACTCCATCATCCACATCGGTAAGGGCTCGCGGGGAAAGCGGCGGGTGCAGATAGTCCTGCCGGCTGACCGTGTTGATAACGACGGGCCGGTGGAGTGAAGAGATGTCGTGGTTGGGGTTTTCAGAGGGGCTGCAGGAGCAATGTTTGGTTGTGGTTGGTACCGTTTAGAGAAGGGAAAGTTGCTTATTTGTTTGTTTGTTTGTTTGTTTTTATCTTTTTTATTTGCTTTTCAAGTTTGCTTCTTTTATTATTACCCCCCCATTATTTATTTATATATTTATTTATTTACTTAGGGGGGTCTTGTGGTTATTTACATGTTTATTTTCCCTTTTTTTGTTTTTAATTTGTTATTTATTTTCATTATTTTTACTGAGGGTTTCATGATTTTGTTTAACTATGTTTACTTTTTTTAAAAAAAAATATATTTAAAGGGGCTTGAATGGATATTTATTTATTTATTTTCTCTTTCTATTTATTAAATAGTGCCTAGGGTTGGTTGATTTATTTATTTATTTATTTATTTATTTATTTACGTGTAAAACTGGTGGGCTTGAGTAGTTTTTTTTTCTATTTATTTAATTTTATTTTTATGTTTATTGTATGGATTCGTGCTCCACAGTTGCACAAATGCAATCGTCATATTCCTGTAAACGGTTCAATGAGCGTCCTAATACTTCTGAACGCGCTTCTACTTAACGCTTACCCTGACTGATTGCGACTGGTGGGCTGCGTGTACGTTGCGGGGTTAACTCCGGAGTCCTCCCCCTCCCCAGCCCTGAGCCCTAACTTTCTCCTGAACGTGACTGAAATGTTAAAGCTGCTCAGCGAGCGCCGGAACGCGCGGAAAAAAAACCTTGGCTGCTTTTTCCGCCTCCTCGCTGAATGGAGACGCGGCCAAGGTGGCATTACCTCACCGCCTCATTACCACACCGCCTCGGCGGAGGTCCGCTCCGCTCCAGCTGCGATGTAAACCGGAGCCCGGTGCGGTTAATCGAGAACTGCTTTGGCTTGGCGCTCAGCTGAGGACGGCTCTGACTCGGTTTTGGGGGTGGGGGGAGATGGGGGGTCTCTTGAATGCTGGAAAGCGCGTCTGATGGGGATCAGTAATAACCGAATCTCAGCTGCTGTTACATCAACAGAGTAGTTTGGATTCGCTTGTATGGTGGTTCGTAAACCGCAGATTTGATCGTTTTCTGACACATTTTAGGGTCAGACCTCAGAATTTTCTAAGGATGGGTTGTTTGGACATAATTAAATGCACGTGCCCATACTCTGATTGGTGTTTGTTGGGGCAGTGACCTCCCTCCCCCCCCATGACCACTTGTTAGCTTATAACAGCTTCAAATGCTGGTCTTTAGCACAACTCTACAAATATCTCCAGCATTGTGTACATATACAGCTATGCTATCCACACGTGGTCAGGCTTAGCTTCCCATATGGAGAGCTGATATATAGCCATATATGCAGATATACCATGAAGGGTTAGGCATATGTTTCAAAATATATAGATATATATGTACTGGAAGTTTCAAGTATTGGATATATATATGCATAATATATGAATACACATGTGTCTGATAGGTCAGTGAATATATATATATATATATATATATATATATATATATATATATATATATATATATATATATATATGCATAAAATATGGATTATACATACATTGTAGGTCTGATGCAAACACTGTTATTATAACATTAAGCTAGCACATATGATGTATAATCCATATATAAATGTTCATCATATAGTTTTAAACATGTGTGACACATATATGTTTGTATGAATCGATATATGGCTGAAGTGTATGTTCCATGGCCATTTTCAAATGAGTTGGCCTATATTTCACATATATGTCCATATATGACAAAATCTGAGTTGGATATAGGAGAAGCTCAAATATGATAATATATGTAATATGTTTGCAGTCCATAATACATACAGCCATATATTAGATTTCCACATATGTAGGTTTATTAGCTGTTTTTCATGTTTATCACTAGAATAGCAGGTCTAACCACACCTTAACTTAAAAATAATCTTAAATATTAGTCATAATCATATAAACACAAAAACCCCAAAGCTGTACGAATTACATACTATTATTCAGCTTTTATCATTATGGTATTCAGTTGCTGAGTTTTATGATATGCGCACATGGTGAAGCTTCATCACTTGTGAAATATTTCATCTGGTCTTAGACACTTAAAATGCTTGTCATAAACACATAATAAACACAAACACATGATCTCACAACTTTATAAATGAGTAGTAAATGATATCTAGCGTTATCAACACATGGTCAAACAAACAGACAGACAAAAAACAGCATGGACTAGCATGGCTGATCACCAGCATATGTTGTGTTTTGGATGCTGATATGCTGGTCAACCAGCTAAACCAGGATCAGACCTGCATAAACCAGCATTAACCAGCACAGACGAGCTTAGACCAGTATGGACTTCATGCTGGTCCGTGCTGTTTTTTTCAGCAGGGAGCCACTTCTAAAAGCTCAAAATACTGGTCATAACATAATAAGCAAAAACTCATGACCTCAGAAATGACTAATAAATATAATTCACCTATCTAGAATACTACTATACCACACACGGTCAGGCTTTATGGCTATCATAGGTCTTAGCCACTTGTTAGCGTAAAAATAGCTTGAAATACTGGTCATAAACACATATTAAACCCAAGCTCATGACCTCAGAACTTAGTCACAAATTAATAATAAATACTGTCATCCAGCTATCTAGAATTACACTATCCACACATGGTCAGGCTTTATGGTTATCATGGGTCTTAGCCACTTGTTAGCATAAAAATAGCTTGAAATACTGGTCATAAACACATAAACCCAAGCTGATGATCTCAGAACTTAGTCCCATATCAGTTATAAATATCATTATTCAGTTATCTAGCATTGTATTCAGTTATCTAGCATTATACTGTCCACACATGGTCAGGGTTTATGGCTAGCATAGGCCTTGGCCACTTGTTAGTTTTCAAATAGCTTGCATTCAAATACTGGTCATGGAAAGGCTTTATGGCTTAGCTGAGCCACTTGTTGGCATAAAAAATAGCTTAAAATGCTATTTTTAAGCACAAACACACATGACTTCACAACTTAATAAGAGGTGTTATTTAGTAGTCTAGCATGCTGTGGTCAGAGAAAATGACCCCACAGTTCTACAAATTACTAATGATATTGTTATTCGCCTATCTAGCTTTACACTAGCCACAGGTGATCAAGCTTTATGGCTAGCATAGGTCTTCAAATAACTTAAAATACTGGTCATAAACACACGATTAACACAGGCTCATGACCTCAGAACTTAGTCCCATATTAATAATAATTATCGTTATTCAGCTATCTAGAAATATATTCAGTTATCTAGCATTATGCTCTCCACACATGGTCAGGCTTTATGGCTAGCATAAATCAAAGCCACTTGTTAACTTAAAAATAGCTTGAAATGCTGGTCGTAAACCTATTAAACACAATCGGATGACCTCACAACATTGTAAATACTAATAAATATTGTTATTCAGATATCTAGCACTATATTTAGCAATCTAGCATTATGCCAGCCACACATGGACAGGCTTTATGGCTTAGCTGAGCCGCTTGTTAGCATACAAATAGCTTCAAATGCTATTTTTAAGCACATTAGCACAAACAGACAACTTCACAACTTAATAGGTGTTGTTATTCAAAAGTCTGGCATGATGCGATCGTCACATGGTCAGACTTTATGGCCACCAATCATCTTTAAAATAGTTTAAAATAGTGGTCATAAACACAAAATTAACAATAACATGACCCCACAAATCTACAAATGACTAATGATATTGATATTCGCCTATCTAGCATTATACTGTCCACACCTAGTCAGGCTTTATGGCTGGCATAAATCAAAGCCACCTGTTAGTTTAAAAATAGCTTGAAATACTGATTAACATATTAAACACAAGTGCATGACCTCACAGCTTATGCCATCCACACGTGGACAGGCTTTATGGCTTAGCTGAGCCACTTCTTAGCATACAAATAGCTGAAAATGCTATTTCTAAGCACATAAGCACAAACAGACGACTTCACAACTTAATAGGTGTCGTTATTCAGTAGTCTAGCATGATGTGATCATCACATGGTCAGACATAATGGTTTAGCCACCAATCATCTTTAAAATAGTTTAAAAATACTGGTCATAAACACAAAGTAAACAATAAGAGATGATTGATATTATGGTATTGGCAAATATTGATGGTATTCGCCTATCTAGCATTATGCTTTCCAAACATGATCAGACTTTATGGCATTATGCAGGTCTTAGCTACTTATTTTAGACATAGCTTAACAAAACTGGTCATAAACACATAATAAACACAAATTACTAATAAATACTGGTTAAATATCCACTATTAGCTCCCCCCCTATTATGGTGCTCAGCTATGTACTATGTAGTAAGGCCCACGTGTTCAGCCTTTATGGCTTAGCTTTGTGTATCATCTGCCTTATCTGTTTTGAATATGGTGTCGTGGTCTTTAAACGCATTGGAATGGATCCCTTGCTCTCTATCTGACTTCTTGTCGAGCGTAGAGGTGGATGACTGACCCAGCTTGCTGATTAGCTCGTACATATCGAGCTTGTGCTGATGTACCTGCATTAGAATCCATATGGAAATTTGCTTAATGGCTTCTGTCACCTAATGAGGACTGGCTTAATGTCTCGCTAGGTTACAATTAGAGACCATCACCAGCCAGCAGCAGGATGCTACCGGTGGATTTCCATGACTGGAATGACAAACATTGCTATTTTAGATGTTTAGAAAAAAAAATAAACAAGCAAACTGTCATACCTTCATTTAGCGTTAGCTCTCACTTGTCTTGGACAGGCAGCGGTGTGGTTTGTTTTATTGCTGGTAGTGCTGACCCTGACACTCCTTTTTATTAAGGGCTTAGGCTTAAATTTAGAGCTATAGCTTATATCGGCTGTTATTTAGTGTTTTGATTAATGGATTCATTTTGTCAGTAGCCACATGGAGCATCCGTGGCATTTGCACTGCAGGACATTAATTGTGGTTCCTAAAAAGAATGTAGGTGACGGATGCCATCCAGCGCAAGTAGATCATGCAAGGTGTCGTTTTCGAGTGTGATTGTTTTTGTAAAAAATAACCACACTTACGCTGCTCGTTTTTGAAAAGTGCTTTTATCTGTGGCCCAGGGTCACATTTTCACTCATCTCAATGCACACATTACAGCACATACACTGATCAGGCATAACATTATGACCACCCCCTTGTTTCTACTCTCATTAGCCATTTTATCAGCTCCACTTACTGTATAGGTGCACTTTGTAGTTCTACAGTTACAGACTGTAGTCCATCTGTTTCTCTGATACTTTGTTATACCCTGTTCTTCAGTGGTCAGGACCCCCATGGACCCTCACAGAGCAGGTACTATTTGGGTGGTGGATCATTCTCAGCACTGCAGTAACACTGACGTGGTGGTGGTGTGTTAGTGTGTGTTGTGCTGGTACGAGTGGATCAGACGCAGCAGTGCTGCTGGAGTTTATCTCACTGTGTTTAGTTTGATTCCCATTAGAAAAAAATGGCTAATGTGGCTAATGTGGCTAACGGCTAACGGCAAGCCCCTAGCTAATGTATGAAGCTGTGTTCTGTGGTAAACCTGGATGTTCATGGTTAAGCCAGCATGCTCAGTCTGTTGAAGAACAACATGAACTTATACACTGGGCGAAACATTGTTTGCCTCTTTCCTGTCCTTTGCACTCGACACAGAAGATTGTCCCACAGGATTACAACCCACTGAGCATCCATAAACTGTGAAAAGCCCTTAACAAATTAGAGGCGTGCATAGAATATAGATAAAGTTGGGGCCCTGTGCTGACAATGGTGCTGTCCATGGTCCTGAATTGTATTATAAACATGCTGGTGGGTCGTGGAGAGGCGCGATTTCTGCATGGACTAGCCAAGTAGCTCTGTTTCACTCCTTCAACACACATCTGGGTTTTTCCTAACATTTGATTAAACTCATCAGGTGACTTCATGAGTTCAGTAAGCTGTGTTAGATCAGGAAAAGCATGAATGTTCCTGCCCTCGGGATCTCCTTGGCTGGAAGAGAGAAACTTTGAGCCAGTCAATGTGAAACAAGTCTGTTATTTCAGGTTTATACATTATGACCACCTCCCTGTTTCTATGCTTACGTCCATTTTATCAGCTCCACTTACTATATAGGTGCACTTTGTAGTTCTACAGTTACAGACTGTAGTCCATCTGTTTCTCTGCATACTTTGTTAGCCCCCTTTTACCCTGTTCTTCAGTGGTCAGGACCCCCATGGACCCCCATGGACCCTCACAGAGCAGGTACTATTTGGGTGGTGGGTCATTCTCAGCACTGCAGTAACACTGACGTGGTGGTGGTGTGTTAGTGTGTGTTGTGCTGGTCTGAGTGGATCAGACACAGCAGTGCTGCTGGAGTTTTATACACCTCAGTGTCACTGCTGGACTGAGAATAGTCCACCAACCAAAAATATCCAGCCAACAGCGTCCTGTGGGCAGCGTCCTGTGACCACTGATGAAGGACTAGAGGATGACCAACACAAACTGTGCAGCAGCAGATGAGCTATCGTCTCTGACTTTACATCTACAGGGTCGACTGACAAGGTAGGAGTATCTAATAGAGTGGACAGTGAGTGGACACAGTGTTTAAAAACTCCAGCAGCACTGCTGTGTCTGATCTACTCAGACCAGCACAACACACACTAACACACCACCACCACGTCAGTGTTACTGCAATGCTGAGAATGATCCACCACCAAATAGTACCTGCTCTGTGAGGGTCCATGGGGGTCCTGACCACTGAAGAACAGGGTAAAAGGGGGCTAACAAAGTATCAGAGAAACAGATGGACTACAGTCTGTAACTGTAGAACTACAAAGTGCACCTATATAGTAAGTGGAGCTGATAAAATGGACAATGAGCGTAGAAATAAGGAGGTGGTCATAATGTTATGGCTGATCGGTGTAAAAGGAACGAAAGGAATCCTTGGTTTGGATGGTCCGAAATGGTGCCGACGCTTTTGGCGAACTGCTTGCGTGCTCCGCAAAGTGCATAACAGCCATAAACAGGACAGCACGTTGAATAATTTGACCAGCATACAGCTGAGGGAAAATAAGTGTCAGTTGTTTTATTGGGTATTGATTTTTTTCCCTCATGGTCCAACAGGTGCCATTTTTGAGCAAAACGCGATCCGGGATGATGAAGTGTTTCAGTTGGCCGTTTCGGACCTGAGTTTGAACGACGACATCCTGCAGAGCGAGAGGATCACCTATTCTATCAAACTGATCGAACCCAACAACCCCTTCCAGGCAGTGCAAGAAGGTAGGCCATCGATCTCCTTGATCAATTAACTGTGCCGTTTTACTTCATCATTTTTTGCTGAACAGTAATTCGATACCACAACCTGCTTTTCATAAGGGTCTGGTGTCAGTTTTTGTGTTTTTCTTGGGTCATTTGGAGAGGTTGCTGAGGTTTTCTGTGGGTTTGAATGCAGCTTCTTTCGTGCTGAGTAGAATTATTGTTGTTGACAGTCTGCTCTCTTTCTCCCTCTCTCTTTTTCGCTCTCTCTCTCTCTTTCTCTCACTTTCACGTGCTCAGAATGCTCTCTCTGAGGAATAAGAGTGTGTGTTCGGTGAAGATAAAGCTCGGTTGAAGCATTGAGTCATTTGGTCATGCTGGTCCCTCTCGTCTTGTGTGGAGCGTTTCAGTGATGTTCCTCTTTGGTGCCTCTCCACCTGCTGTGCAGCCACAGCTTCTGTCCATGTTTTCTTATTCAAATGGAAGGCAGATAGTGCTGGCAGTACAACTGAAATTTCCCTATGCTAATCACTAACATGTCTCCCATTGTTGCAGCAAATAGCTAAATTCTACACCTTGTGGAAGTTCATGACATGTTTACACTGTTCCAGGACCTGGTTGGTGCTTCTTTATCAGATATGTGACATTGGAGTTGCCAGTTTACCAGATAAACCAATATTGTAGCCACTCGTTGGCCATTTTGCCTGCCATATACAGTGCTGTGCAAAAGTCAGAGACCACCCTTCATTTGTTTAATTTCCAGGCATAATGGCCATGATGGAAACATAATCCACTGGAATAAGGAAAGGGAAAGTCAAGGGAAAATAAGTGAAAAACAGGAGTTTCCAAAAAGTTTTTTACACTATGGCAAAAAAAATTGCCTAATAGTTAATAAAATGGGACTCCTAACCAGCGAGCAAGACCTAGAAGACCACCGAAACTGTCACCATGAGATAAACAGGACTCAAATCATCTTTGAATGTGTTGAGGATTACTTGGTTCACGAGAAGCAGAAAATTCAACCAACTTCTAAGACTGAACTTTTCAGGTGTGGAAAAAAACCCTGTAAATTTATTGGAAAAACTAAAGGGAGAACTGATTTAGCTTTAAAAAGCAAACAAGACATGAAATATAGCAAATATTCAGTATTATATTTCGTTCTTGAAGCTTCTGTGTAATTTTCTTTTAAATATATCGTTGCTATCATGACAAATTCTTATATCTCCAAAATGGGAGCTTTTCAGGAGAAAAAAAACACAATAGAACAAGATTTATTGTCAAGTAATTCTGGATCATTTTCATTGCTTCATTCTTTGACTTTGTACTTAATGGCTGTTTTGACAGGAAATTAGATCATTAAATGGTGGTCTCTGACTTTTGCAGACTTTTGTTTCTGACCACAGGACCACTGCTGGCTGGACTTTTTTTGTTTGGTGGACTGCTTTTAACCCTGAGATGTTCAAAAAACCTAAAGTGCAACTTGTATAGCATAAAGGTGTTTCCGATAAAGCGGCACGGTGGCGCTGTGGGTAGCGCTGTCGCCTCACAGCAAGAATGGCCTGGGTTCGATTCCCGGCCGGGTGACCAGGGTCATTTCTGTGTGGAGTTTGCCTGTTCTCCCCGTGTCTGCGTGGGTTTCCTCCGGGTACTCCGGTTTCCTCCCACAGTCCAAAAACATGCAGTCAGGCCAATTGGACATGCTGAATTGCCCCTAGGTGTGAGTGTGTGTGACTGTGTATGTCTGTCTGTCTGCCCTGTGATGGACTGGCGACCTGTCCAGGGTGTATCCTGCCTTCCGCCCAATGACAGCTGGGATAGGCTCCAGCACCCCACCGCGACCCAGAAGGATAAGCGGTTTAGATGATGTATGTATGTATGTATGTTTCCGATAAAGTGGCCATTGAGTGTTGGTGCAAGGTAGGTGTTGCTAATAAAATGTCAACATAGTGTACACACTGAGTGTATAAACATAGAGATACAACCATTTGAAATTAAAGCCTCATATCCAACATTTATTTTTCTAAGGTCAACTCATGACATTTGTGTGGATTTATGTGTCAAAAACAGCAGCTTTAATTAATTTCTACATGTCTACATTTTCCAAACTCTCTTTATCCCTTAGAAATAAACTGGATCTTATTATCACTGTATCTATCTATCTATCTATCTATCTCACTTCTGTCGGAAGAAAACCTTGTATCTCCATTTTTGTCATTGTTCAGTTTTTGATAAAATCTGAAAATGTCTGTGGGTTTTTACATTGTGTGTAAATTTCATAATGGACCAAAAGAAATGGGCCAAAATTCTGGTTCCATTGACTTACATTAAAAGTAAAGTATGTTTTTTCCTTCTCCTGTAAAGTTATAATTTTGGAGATATGAGGTTTTCTTCCCACAACAGTGATATATGTATGTATATATATATATATATATATATATATATATATATATATATATATATATATATATAAAACACCTATGCCTCCTATTCAACAGAGGCCAGTGACAGAGAGAATAGACCTGCATTCTATATCCACTGCTACCTTTTTCAAATGTCAGTGAAAAACATCCAGAGAATAAAAAAAGGTCAACAAAACATAAAGAGACATAAAGCGCAGAGAGGATAGTAAAAAAGCCCTCTGAGGCATTTAAAGGGACCACACCTTGGGATGCATTCAACCATAAAATGGGAGAGAATTATGCCAAAACTGCTGATGGATGGTTCAGAACAAGGATCTAAGTATGTGAATGATAATACTGGCTGGAAGCAGGGGTGGGGGGGGAGGGAGGGGGGCAACAGGATAAAAATAACAAATAAATAACAAACAAGCCGAGCACAAAGAAAGCAACGATATACGCAATGATGAAATAACACTGGAGCTGGTGTACTGCAGGGTTGACACAGCAAAGTTTTTTTTCCCATGTTTTTGAAGGAGCTGGGCTGTGGTTGACTGATTGCAAACCGGGATACAGTAGTCAAAGACCCTGCATGAGTCACTGGAGAATTTCGTGGAAGGATGATGAGTTTGACAGTTGTTTTTTGGGGAAAAATACGTAGAGAACTATGGAAAGGGTTGATTTAGGCTTGAAAAATAAACAAACAAATAAACAAAAAAAAGCATGAACTTAACCCTCTACTGCACGGTGTTGCCATATGGCAGCAATTACTTTATCTTAATTTTACTAAAAGTAGTTATATAAAATCTGCGTTTTCCTATTTAATTGTGGAAAAAGGGTCTTTTACTTTGAAAGGACCAGGAATTTTTATTATGATGTTGTTATTACCATACATTCTAAATACCAATTTAAATTGTATTAATTTACAATATTTGTAAATATTGGGTTATACATTCCACTAAGCATAAGTTGGATTGTTTGTTCTTGATTTCAATAAAAGGATAAAAGGATGTTTTTAGAGAAAAATTGCTTTTTTTTAGGTTTTATGGTGCTATGGTATGATTATGGCAACAATTTACCAAGTAACCCACTAAATTTTAAGAAATAATTTTTTTTTTCAACAATTTCCATTATTTCAGCATTTTCAAATAACAAAAACACATTAAAACATTTGATCATGTTTAAGTAATAATTCATGCAGTAGAGGGTTAAAGATTTTGTCAGTATGTTTTCTTAATCCAAAAACTGCTATTAGCTACAGGGTCCTGTGTGAATTCATGACTGACAGTCAAGTGAACAACAGTGTTAGTTATTTTGAGATTCTTCATCTGTTATATTTCCACTGTTTAACTTGAAGTTGTTGGAAGAAGTTGATGTTAGGACTAAATAAGCAGTTAATTGGCTGATCAGAGTTATTTTACAGTGTTGTTAGCTTTATTATGTTGACATTGCAACAAACAGAACGTGAATAGGGTTTGTTTTCATCCACTGAGTGTGAATCAAAGAAAGTAAATAACACATTCATTGAGAATCACCAGGGCCTTTATAACTCAGGCAAGTCAAACTGGGGACCTTCCAGTCCAAAGTGCTGCGGAGATCAGTGTTTACCCTCATCTAACACTCTGAATTCAGATCATGAAGTCCTTGCTAATTAGCTGATGAGCTGAATCTGTTGTATTTAATGAGGCAGTGAGCTGAAGTCTGTAGTGTTTTGGCCCACAAGGACTGGAGCCTGACATGTGTTCTAACTTCTTGGTGCTATAACACCTTTAGAGGGCAGCAGCGAGTACTGTTTGTTTATTTAAGCTTTAGCGGTTTTGATTGAAAGTATTGACAGCTAGGAAGCTAATCGACGGAAATGTATCTGATTTACAAAACCGGGAGCGAACTAGATTTTCATCTTTGTAGGACGGCAAGCAAATAAAAATGAATTAATGTGTTTTTATTCTGTTTCATTGCTATTTTTATTGTGGCGGCTGTACAGGGTTGATTCATATGAAGAAAACTGCAGTTTTTTCTCAGTACGGCTGAGAGATTCACAGGGAAAAATGCTTGAAAAATGCTTTTGATTCTATTATTTAAAAACATCAGAGTCTATTTCCACTGTCCCGTTGTTATGGCAACTAGGGGGCCTGCCAAAAGAGGTGCAATGCAAAAGACAATCAAATCGTTAATTACAATTATCACAGTTAATCATCAGTTAAAACGTCATGATAGTTCTAGCTGATGTCAAGTTTTTCTTCATACAAATCAGAACAAGGGAACATTTTTGTCCACTACCTCTTGGCATCATCAACTTACATGTTGTTGCTGTGATGCAAAAAACCTTGTATCTCCATCTTTTGGCATTTTTTACTTTTTAATATCATTTGACTCTCCTGTTATCATGTTTCTTGATGAATAGACCAAAAGAAATTGTCCAAATTCTTCTGTAAAGTTACAGAAGATCCAAAGTTCTGTTCCAGCAGCGATCTTTTTAGTATCACTGAGACACTCTGTCAAGTTGACAGCCCCGTTAAGGCATGGACTGCAGTCTGAAATGTATAGGTGAGTGGATTTGTATGTTCAGACATCGTAAAGAGGCCATAAAAGGTCTGTTAGAATGTTAGATTCATTACACGAATCATT